CTTTCAGAACCCATGGAACGCGCTCCTCGTGAGCAGTCACTTGTGTTGAGGCCACTCTGCTGAGGCTGGAAGGTGAGTTGCTGCAAGCGTTACACAACTGATTTTTGCAAAGGAGAGAGATGAAAGAGATCCTTCAAAGATTCCAATTGCAAGAGCAGGGTGTCCTGTGCAATGCTGAGTAGCCTTGCCAGGAGCCTGCTGTCACACTCTGAAACGAGTAGAAATTCATGCTTCCACTGAAAAAACTCCCATTTCTTCCTGTGCTCTGAAGAGTGAATTTCCATAGCAGTAAGACAAACTTGGTGACTCAAGCCTCTCAGCTATTCTAGAGAGGAAATTGTGAAATTATCTGTTTGCCAAGAAAGTACTTCCAGTTACCAAAAGAGGGAGCCTGGGAGCAGAACACATGATTGTCCAACCCTCTCAAAAAAATACTTATTTGGATTCTGTCTCACTTTTTAAATAATTAAAAAAAACTTGTTTGTTTATTTATTTCAAAAGTGGGGAGAGAGAGAGAGAGAGAGAGAGAATCTTCCATCCACTGGTTCACCAAATGCTCGTACAGCCAGGGCTGGGCCAGGCTGAAGTCAAGAACCTCGAAGTCCATCTGGGTCTCCCATGTGGGTGCCAGGGACCCAGGTACTTGAGCCATCTTCTGCTGCCTCCCAGGGTGCACATTAGCAGGAAACTAGAATTAGGAGTGGAGGCAGGACTTGAACCCAGGCACTCCGAAATGAGATGTGGGCTTCTCAAGTGAATCTTAACCACTGGGCCAAATGCTAAATCTGCTTTTTGCTTTTTAAATTTCTTTTGCAAGGATGAGGTGGGGCTAACCCACAATTACACTCAACTTTCTCTTTCAAAGACTGTGTTAAGATAGGATCCTGGAAAGATAAAAAAAAACAGATAACTTTTTTTTTTAAGATTTATTTTATTTATTTGAAACAGTTATAGAGAGAGGTAGAGGCACAGAGAGAGTCTTCCATCCGCTGGCTCACTCCCCAGATGACTGCAATGGCCGGAGCTGCGCCCATCCAAAGCCAGGAGCCAGGAGCTTCTTCCAGGTCTCCCACGTGGGTGCAGGGGCCCAAGGACTTGGGCCATCTTCTACTGCTTTCCCAGGCCATAGCAGAAAGCTGGATCGGAAATGGGATTCCAGCGCTTCAGGCCAGGGTGTTAACCCGCTGTGCCACACAGCTGGCCCTAAACAGGTAACTTTAATGATCTTTTTCTATCCTCCCCAGACAAAACACTTGGCCTCATGCCTGGCTGCCACACAGCAAACAGATCTAATTAAACTGCTCTTACTAAAAGGAAAGGGAGGCGGAGCTAAGCCCGGAGGAGTAGAGAAATAATTACGTATTTAATAGAGTTCAACTTTACTTCTCCCCGTCATGAATTGTCTCCAAAAGAAGAACTTGTTTTGCATATGATCTACATCCCCCCTCATGGACGGCCATGTAAAAGGAGAGTTAATCATCAGTGCCATCCTACCCACTCCCTAAGGCTAAACACTGCTTCATGCCAAGCAAGAGGAGTGATATAAACCTAGACCCCTTTGTAGAAACAAGCCTTTTATTCACACTCATTAGTCACTAACATCGGGTGAGTGCCTACGACATACACTCCAGCTTCTACAACATAAAGTCATTTTTCAATGCAAACTTTGCTTTTGCCTTTATAAAGGCAGCTTTGGCAAGTTACCCATTGATGCATATTTTCAAATTCAACATAGAATTCTAAAATTTATATATTTTTTGTTTTAGCAACATATTCAGCTTCTTATTATATTTAACTTACCAAAAACTGCTTTGTATCATATTATCTTAAAAACTTATCTTAAAAACTTAAAACATTTTTGGAAAATGTACAGGCCTTAAAATTTTCTAAAAACTCTGTAAATGTTATACATACTAATAATTAGGCAGCATAATATATTTACATTTATTTGACAGTTTAATGACATGGGTTCTTTTAGCATTGTTGACTGTGGAATTAAAGCAAGATAATTTTTAAAAATATTAATCTAGGGGCTAGTGTCATGGCTCAGCAGGTTCAAGTGCTACCTGTAGTGCTGACATCCTATATGGGCTCTGACTCATGTCCCAGCTGCTCCACTTCCAATTTAGCTCCCTGTTGATGCATTTGGCAAAGCAGAGGAGACGGCCCAAGTGCCTGGGCCCCTGCACCCACGTGGGAGACCCAGAGGAACCTCCTGGCTCCCGGCTTCCACTTGGCCTAGACCCAGTTGTGGCCATTTGGGGACTGAACTAGCAGATGGAAGATCTCTCTTTCTCTAACTTGCCTTTTAAATAAAATAAATAAATCTTTAAAAAAAGTATTAATCTAAAGAAAAGCTGGTATTCTGCAATTTCTGGTTTGAATCCCATATGCCTGTGAACAACGTTCTAAATCCCTTCTGGTACACTCCAGACTTGCAAAACCCATGATAGGGAATTCAGCTGTTAATAGATTTATAACAGAAAATACATTATTCTAGTATAAGATTCTTCTGAAAGACAACCTTTAAAGCTGGATTATTTCCTGAACTAATACAGAACGAAAGATAAGCAGTGGCCTTCTCAGGTTTGCAGTTTACGTAGTCAGTGCCGTGCAACAGAAACCCCGAGTGCCAGAAGGAGACCCGAGAGCGCAGAAGCAGAACTCAGGCCACATTCTTCTCCTGTATTTGGGCCACCACGTGAAAGACAAATCATTTTCCAAAACGATTAAGTACCCTCATCAATTAGCCAGCTAACATATCAATCCTCAAGAAAAAATGTAATAAGCTATTCTCTCCTAAGTGCCAGCTGTCAAAAACTATCAGAGTTAGTCAAAGCTTTCTAACGTTCCAATCAAATCACAAGATGGGTGGAAAGTCACTGCACAGAATCCATTAAGCTGCATTACTAAATGTCCACTGTTATATAAAAACTATAAATAACTCTGTACTTTAGGATTTTTTCAATTTGCTTTTCTTGAAGTAATAATGATGTTCTGCTTCAGTTAATAAAGTATTTTAGAGCTGCCTTTGTGTTTAATCCACAAACTCTTTCTGTGTGGAATAAAGACAGCAAGAAATAATCAAATCAGTGGAATTATAAGCATTCTTTGGAGTATCTTCTGTTAACAATTTTAAAAATCAAGAGGATCATCAGATAACATTACTAGGCTTAATAATCCAGTGAGTTAACTTTCCTTTGGGGGAACAAAATGCCGTTTCTGTAGAGGGCATCCAGGATTTTTCATGTATTTGTGAAGGAATTCAAATTCTGATGAAAGAAGCATCAATTAGTACAGGCTTAAAGAGAACAAGCCAATCACAACATTGCACAAATATGTTGTCCAAAAAAATGATTACTGGATAGGAGGGTCTGTTTCTGCAGATTAAAACAAGAGTCTTTCCTCTTTTACTGTTAGGTTGATCTATTTGTTGAGTTCAAGGCACAAATGAGCATGCTGATGGTTGAGACTTGCCCAAATAAGAGGATAAAGTAAGCTAGGAAGCACATTCAAATCACTAACACTGATGTAATTTTTTTTCCTGAGAAATTTTAAAGAGGTTTCTTTCTACGGTTTCTTGGTAAGTCCAGTTCTTCCTTGGTCTGAGGGATCCCCTTCTTGCTATAGTTTCTAGAATTATCAATAATCTCCTTTCCAGTGCGGTCCTCTGATTAGCAATACAGATACTTTCAAACAACAATTAAGAGAATACCCTTGGGAACAAAGAGGTCCAAGTTTGTATATTTTGTACAAGATAGGAACAATTTTCTTCATTAAAAAAAACTGTTTTTATTGTTTTAGATTAGCTAAAAAGAATCAGCTTAAGATAGATATGCTAACAATTTGAAAATTGAGTTTCTAAGTTATAGGCAAGATGTTTTGAAAAATATACTGAAACCAAAATGAAGTAGTAAAGCATGGCATATAAATGTAGTGTATTTCCCTTTAATCAAGGAAAACCAAAGAAACTTTCAACTTTGTTTAAATTAAGCAGACAGGAAGCACTTAAACTCTTGAATTTCAGGCTGGTGCTGTGGTGCAGCAGGTTAAGCCATGGCCTGCAGTGCCGGCATCCCCAGTGGGTGCCGGTTTGAGTCCCAGCTGCTCCACTTCCAATCCAGGTCCCCTTATGCACCTGGGAAAGCAGCAGAAGATGGTCTGGGCCCTGTACCCACATGGGAGACTTGGAAGAAGCTCCTGGCTCCTGGCTTCAGCCTGGCTTAACCCTGGTCATTGCAGCCATGTGGGTAGTAAACCAGCAGATGGAAAAATCTCTCTTTCTCCTTCTCTCTCTGTAACTCTTTCAAATAATAATAATAATAAAATCTTTAAAAGAACTCTTGAATTTCACTTGGACTCCTGTGCTTTTAGACATAATGTTCTATGATAATATTTTGTATTTAAAGTAACAGTCCCGGCCGGCGCCGCGGCTCACTAGGCTAATCCTCCGCCTAGTGGCGCCGGCACACCGGGTTCTAGTCCCGGTTGGGGCGCCGGATTCTGTGCCGGTTGCCCCTCTTCCAGGCCAGCTCTCTGCTGTGGCCAGGGAGTGCAGTGGAGGATGGCCCAGGTGCTTGGGCCCTGCACCCCATGGGAGACCAGGAAAAGCACCTGGCTCCTGGCTCCTGCCATCGGATCAGCGCAGTGCGCCGGCCGCAGCGCGCCGGCCGCGGCGGCCATTGGAGGGTGAACCAACGGCAAAGGAAGACCTTTCTCTGTCTCTCTCTCTCACTGTCCACTCTGCCTGTCAAAAAAAAAAAAAAAAAAAAAAGTAACAGTCCCATACTCTGGTTTCTCTTCACATCGTATAAATCTTTCACCTTTTACTATGTAACAATCCTCCAAGACTATCATATTATTATATATTTCAACATACAATAGATTTTTTGGTGAAAATACGTAATGATTCTTTAATATAATATTAGAATGTGAATACTTATTTAAAAAGAATGAATTTTCACACAAGATAATTATACAATTTTTAAATAGACATGATATATGCTCCAAGTTTTATTTTCCTTTAAATTATATAAATAGAACAAACATGGTATTCAAAATATTACAGTTTTTTGAATTCTACAGAAGAAAAAGAAACTGAAGTGAAACTGTAGGATATGCTGAACTTCAGATAAATGTTTCTTCAAAACAAGAGATATTAGTTGCTAAAAGATTCCTCTAAATTTAAAAAAAAAGATTAAGAAAAACATTAAGCCATTGTGTTACTACATTTTTTAAAAGCTACATGTTTCTTAATGGACATATGTTTACATGTACAGATAGTAAACTTAGTTTCCTGTCTCATAAAACTCAGAAGACACCAGCGATATCTAAACTAAAACAATAAAAGCCTTTACTTCATATTAAAACAAATCTTGAAACTAAAATTTACCTTAACATCATCTTCCATGAAAACTTAACAAAGAATAGCTAATCTGAAAGCAAAATGTTGTGCAAATCACTTTCAAGAAAACAAACTCATTCTGGGATTGTGCTGTGAGTGCCAACTGAAACCCCGAATGACAGCATGTGACTCAAAGGATCAGGCGGTCCTCTCCTCCCTCCTGAATTACCTGACCAATCGAAGTCTGGTTCTGCTGTTTCAGAAAGCACTGTTTCTTACATTCCATCAGTTGTTCAAAATCACGCCACATTTTTGCTTGTTTCATATTTGGACCATGACTTTCTCGTACAGCTTTTTGTTTTTCCCGGAGTTTCTATGTTAAAAAAAAAATCAAGAATAATTAAATATCAGTTACAGAGACTTACTTCTAGGATCATAGTCAGAGAAATATGGTAGGTTTTGAACATTTGATGAATAGCAGTTTAAACCAGTTTCTCCTATCAAGTAGAGTTAAAAAGAACATAAAAATATAAAAGGGAAAAAGAGTGAAAAATAAAAGGAATCAGGAAAGGGGAGCAGTATCATGGTATAGAAAAAGAATGCAGGTTTTGGAAGTTGAAAGATTTGAGTTTCAACCTTGGCTTTGTTATTAACCGTAAGCAAGACTGAATTTCTCTGGATCTCCGTTTTCTCAACTGCCAATTAAGGCTAATAATAGGGGACAATAAAAGTATCTGCTTTATAAGATTTTTTTTCACATAACAATCGATATGGAAATACTTGATAAACTATCATGTGTTATGTATGTTATTATGTATTATACTAAATACTGTACTTAATGAAACAGTGGACATCTTATGTATGTTGAAATAAATCAGACTGTATGCAGATACTCCTCTGGGAGAAGTTACAATGATTTTTTTTTTAATTTACAATAATACATAGGCTAAAATCCTTATCAGAACTGGTTTTGTTACTAACGGCATACATGGTTCCATATGCCAAAACTGTTTTACTCATTGACTCCAAGACTATGAGCTGGAGTAAAATTTTTTTTTCAATAATTCACAAAAATATACTTTGGTTCTATGTTATGGAAAACAGAGGCAGGGTGATTGAAAGGAAGTGTAGGCATAAAGTCAGAGGCAAGGAAAGACATGACAGAAAGACAGGAAGAGAAAGAGACAGAGGGAGGAACAGGGAGGGAAGAGGAGAGAAAGGGGAAGGAAGAGATGAAAGTGCACATACAAGGATCACAGTGTGACGGAAACACCTACACTGACACCAAGTGTGAGAAAATCACCAAGAGCAACAGAAAAACAAGCAAAGAAACAAAGCAGACTACACGGGAACATCCTCGTCTTTTCCTCTTTTAGTATATGGCTGATCCAGTAATTGATCTAAGGACAAATGCTAATGGAACTTGTCCAAATAAGATGAGGCCCAGATTTGAATCACCAGATTCTACCCACCCCAGCAATGGATAATGAAAGCAAAATTAATAGCAAACAGCAAGAGAAAACAAAACAGAATTTAAAAAAATTCTTAAAAATTTTTTTGATGTAATATCTGGCATATGAATGCACATAAACAAAAACAAGAAGCATTTAGAAAGACAAAGTAGATTAATAATTTTAAGAATTGTGAACATGATTTTAAATTAAGTCAGTCACTAAACTGTAACTTTTCATATATTATTGAATAATTTCCTTATCAAAAATCCCAACAGCCTATAAAAGTTAACAGGATATGGGCATTGTCTGTATCAGAAATATTAAATTTAATTTGCTTCCTAATCATGTGTGTTTGAAACCTTTAAGAATACATCTGATTTTAGTATACAATTTATTTTAAACCTGTTATTTAATAGAGATTTACTCTGTTTATAGTTACCCTATACAAAAAGTATTTATTAGAGATTTCATTTTTTTTTAATGGGAGTGGGGTGGGGTGGGGTTTGGGGGTTGGATTAGCAGGAGAGAAATGTGGTTGGCCTCTGAGGCCCCTGGTTGTCCAGGTTTGGAGGCTAGGTTTGTTTTCTGTTTGTCTTGAAAATTTAGGTCTACTGTTCAAGTGAGGGAACTGAGGAGCTGTGCATCTTAAATGCTGTAGGTTAACATCTGGGGAATTAGAGAGTTATTGGCTTGTTTTGTGCAGTTGCTCATATTTGAGGTCAGACTGCTGCTACGTCAAAGCTCCTGCAGTAAAACATCACAATGACAGGGCAAAACATAATCTTTAGTGAGATTTAGCAGCTAAGTTTGGTCTGTGAAACAATTCAAGGTTTGATAAATATTGATAAATATTTCTGTGTATATAGCAGGTATTTTGGTACCTGTCAAGCAAACAAAAATATAAAGTACCTCTGTCATGTGAAAAAGGACATAATTTAACAGGAAATCTTTAGAAGAAAGTCAATTATTGACAATCATACTAAATCCTAAAATTCCCCACAAATCTCTAAATTACTGTGTAAAAGAATGTTTACAACTTTATTCAATTATGAAAACTATTTTTTCCTTTTTTTTTAAGTTTTATTTATTTTGAAAGGTAGAGTGACAGAGAGAGGGAGAGACAGATCTTCCATCCCTAAATGGGAACAATGACGGAGACTGGTCCAGGCCAAAGGCAGGAATCTGCCTTTCTATGGTGGGAGGGGCCTAAGCACTTTGGCCATTCTTCCCTGCATTCCCGGGTGCATTAACGGGAGCTGGATCGGAAGCAGAGCAGATAGTAATTGAACCAGAGTTCCAGTGTACAGAGGCTTAACCCACTGTGCACAATGCCAAGGCCCCATTTTTTTTTTATCTTCCACCTCCTCCTCCTCCTTTTTTTTTTTTTTTTTTTAAAGATTTAGTTATTTATTTGAAAGGCAGAGTTACACACAGAGAGAAGTAGAGAGAGACAGAGAGATCTTCCATCTGTTGGTTCATTCCCCAAATGGCTGCAACAGCAGGGGTGGGCCAGGCTGAGGCCAGGAGCTAGGAGCTTCTTCCTGGTCTCCCATGCAGGGAGCTGGATCAGAAGTGGAGCAGCCCAGTCTCCAACCAGAGCCCATATGGGATGCCGGCATAGCAGGTGGCGGCTTTACACACTACGACGCAGCAATGCCAGCCTCCATAATAGTTTTTTAAGGTGGAAAACACATCTACTCTATTTAGCAATTACTCCATTGTTTTCTCTATCAGTTTTTCCCTGAAATTCATCTTTAGAATACAATATTACTTACAGGCTTTATTTGTACTTTAAAAAAAGGCAAGTTTCAATGTACACATAATCATTTTAAGATTGCAAATTTGGGGCTAGCGCTGTGGCTCAGCGAGTTAACGCCCTGGTCTGAAGCACCGGCTTCCCATATGGGCACCGGTTCTAGTCCTGGCTGCTCCTCTTCTGATCCAGCTCTCTGCTATGGCCTGGAAAAGCAATAGAATATGGCCCAAGTGCTTGGGCCCTGCACCCACGTGGGAGACCTGGAGGAGGTTGCTGGCTCTTGGCTTCAGATGGGCACAGCTCAGCCGTTGAGGCCATCTGGGGAGTGAACCAGCACATGGAAGAGCTCTCTCTCCGTCTCTACCTCTCTCTATGACTCTTTCAAATCAATAATATAAATCTTTTAAAAAAAGATTGCAAATTCAATAATATTTGAACAGTGAAATAACATATCCATATATAGTCAATTCAAAGAAAAATTACAGCTAAACAATCCCTAATATACATGATGCTTCAAACTTAACCCCTGCATTAGAAAATCTAATAACAAAACTCAACTTTCAAAGGTGAAACTAAATAAAAAACATAAAAAATGGTGTATAGTGAAGCACGGTTCAGCTTCATTATGCAACACTGGTGTCAAATCACTGAAGATGATCTTAGAACTCATCTAGGTAATTTTATTTTTAAATTTCTCATCTCTTTCTTTCAGTTTAAACATGAGGAAATGAGCCTTACAGTGGTTAAGGGCTTGTCTAGAACCCCAGGCCAGACCATCTCTCCTCTGAATTGCTGATAAGTACAGGACTTCGTTTTTTTCCCTAAAAACAACAAAGTTGGAGTCTTTTTCAATGACTGCCAAAATGTGTTGTTCTATGAAGTCCTTTGGTTCAGCCCCGATGGCCAAGCCCTCAGCATCCACCACTTCTACTAGGAGTGGCCCTGAGAACTGAGAAAACAAGGTGCAGACACACATTCCCACTTCCGTAGCTTTCGTATGATCCTGGCAGACAGGAAGCGGGGTATCTCAACCAAGGCTTTTCAATTAATTTTCAATAACTAAACAAATCAATATTTGTAAAGGGCTTAGATCAGCACCTGGATAACAATAAGAGATTTGTGTTAAATAAAATTAATAAATTTATAAATGTAAGCTGAGATATCTGAGAAGAACGTGAAAATTGTAATGCAGGACACTATCATGAACTCTTACTTAAAAATAAATGATATTTTTTCTTTAAAAAAAATCCCTGTGCTTTCACTTTTATAAACCCAAATTCCTAAAGAAATTTTTTCAACTTTAAAACATTACCAATTTCCCCTGAAAAACTGTAATAAATCTTTTAAAAGAATTGCAATGTCATAGTCATATATTGAATGCCTCAATTAGACACATCTAAGAAATAAATAATAATTCTTACCTTTCCAAGGTTTTCTTGTTCAGCAATATTTTTGGTATACTGTTCCCTAGAGAGTCAACATAGTGACTTAGTTGCAATTTACTTTAGTTTATTTGAACACATAACTAATTATAAATTAACATGCCTATCTAAATTCCCATATATTTGACAATATAGTTTACGGTACTGGAATCAGAAGGAAAACTATTATCAAATGCTTTGTCTTTCCCCATGTTTAGTTCTAGTAAACAATAATTTACAGGAAAAAAAAAACAAAAAAAGCAAAATACTGCATAGAAAATTATGAGTATTAAAATCTTAAGTACTATTTCTGGTTAATCCATCCTTAAATTACATTTTGTTTTTGAAGAGACTTGGACAAGGAAGCATACAAATTTTAAATAACACGAAAGAGCATCTAACCCTGCAATTCCACTCCTAAGACGTCATCTCTTATAACTTAATGAACATAAAAACAAAAACTAATTACTTCACCAATACTTATAATAGTTAAAAATTTGCAAACAGACTAAGTGTCTGTGGAAAGGGAAATGTTTCAGTAAATTATGGTACATACATTCAAAGGAGTAATAGAGTTATACTTGTAAAAAAGGGTCGATCTATAAATACTGAAGTGCAGAGAATTCTAGGTAAATTATTGAGAAAAACTGTATAAGTAGCATAATCTTATTTTATAATACATATAGATACATATGTACACATATACAAGATGCAACAGTAAATCCAAGAGAAGAGAATACAGCGTATTAAACAACACAGTAGTAACAGGAGACAATGCTGAGGCATGGCAATGTGGACAGTGTTTAATTTCTAGGCATACAATTTCACAGTGGTTACATTCTCTTTTTACAAATATTTCTTCTGTAAGGTAAAAAAAATCAACGTAAAAATAAAAAAATAAAAATAACACATTTTTAGTAACAAGTTCAATTACATTTTAATACCACCCAAGACAAAAAGCGAGATTTAAAGTAGGTGATAAGGACAAAGAGTAAAGGGTGAGGACAAAAGAATGAATGACAAAGAAGGTAAGAGATTTTAGATTTTAGATCTGAATAGAACCAGACTAGGTTCTGCTTTGTGTAAAGCTACACTGCACTATTTAAGAAGAAATTAGAAATTAGATAAGGACATAGCAACCAAGGTGAAGGAAATTATGCATTTATGCAAAAAGGAGGTAAAAGGAATTAGAGAGAATGTAGATTAAGTGCCCAAAGTTCGTTTTTTTTTTTTCCAAGATTTATTTATTTATTGGAGAGGCAAAGTTACATAGACAGAGAGACAGAGAGGGAGGTCTTTCATCCATTGGTTCACTCCCCAAATGGCCACAACAGCCAAAGGTGGGCAGATTTGAAGCCAGGAACTAGGAACTAGGATCTTCCTCCAGGCCTCCAAGCAGGTGCAGGGGCCCAAGCACTTGGGCCATCTTCTACTATTTTCCCAGGCCATTAGCAGGAAGCTGTATGGGAAGTGGAGGAGCTGGGACTCGAACTGGCACCCATATGGGAAGCCAGCACCACAAATGGAGGCTTAACCTACTACACAACAGCGCTGGCCCCTCTTTTTTTTTTTTTTTTTTTAAGATTCATTTTTATTTCTTTGAAAGACAGAGTTGCAGAGAGAAAGGAGACACACGCACACACACACACACACAGAGGTCTTCTATCTGCTGGTTCAGTTTCAAGGGTTCTTACAGAGCTGAAAAGAATGGGGAATCTGAGCACAGGAAGAAGACTGGAAAGGAGTGAACACGATCCTCATAAACCCTCGTTTTGCCCTTAAAATTTATGAGACAAACAGCTTGCCTTTCCAGTTCTCCCATGAAAGACAGCTAGGAGGGTGTAAATGGCATATTACTGAAGAAGAATGTATGGTTATAGATGAAACAGCTCTAAAGACTTAATTTATTACACTAGGCCTGAGAAATAACCAAATTGCTTCAGAATTTCCATTTATATAAAATCCTCTCAAGAAATCCACATGCTCAGAAAGAATATATATAATATACCAATATATTAGCATATAATTTATAAATACTAATATATAAAATATCATGTCAATATATTATTATATATAATTATACACAATTAGTATCATGTATATTAATATACTTATATACTTATATGTGTGTATATATATATATATATACACAGAAATATATATACTAAAGCCTAATTTTAATTTATGCAAGAAATAATTTTGGAGCACCTCTATGTGTCAAGTATGCCCTGGGATTTCAAGCAGAAACCAGGACAGATAAGGCCCTTGCCCTAGAGGAATTCATGCCATGTATCTCCAAAACACCACTACATCCATATATTCAACTTGATCAAATATATATATATATATATATAGTGTATATATATATATATATATATATATATATATACTATTCTCATTTTATAGACAACAAAGTGACCTGCTCAAGGTTACATAATCAGGAACTGGAAAAAACAGGTTGGAAAAGAGTTTTATGTGTCTCTCTCCAGCTCTCTGAACTAAAACATGCTTTTTGAATGAAATTTAAATTTATAGATAAATCTTTCAGGACTAAGTTGATTTTTAATTCCTTTGGGCTTACCAAAAAAGATCATAAAAGTTGGAAATGGAGAGGGCTGCCATTGCAGCACAGTGGGCATCCAATATAAATGCTGATTAGGGTCCCAGCTGCTCTATTTCAGGTTCAGCTCCCTGCTGTGGCGTGGGAAAGCAGCAGGAGATGGCCCAAGTGCTTGGGAGAAATTCTTGGCTCCTGGCTTCCGACCTGGCTCATCCCTGGCTCTTAGGACCATTTGGGTAGTGAACCAATGGACGGAAGTTCTGTCTCTCCCTCTCTCTGTAACTCTGCCTTTCTTTTCTTTCTTTCTTTTCAAAACTTATTTGAAGTATTTTTTAAAGATTTATTTATTTGAAAGGCAGGGTTACAGAGAGGTAGAGGCAGAGAGAGAAGTCTTCCATCAGCTGCTTCACTCCCCAGATGGCTATAATGGCCAGAGCTGAGCCAACCCGAAGCCAGGAGCCAGGAGCCAGGAGCCAGGAGCCTTTTCTGGGTTCCCCACATGGGTGCAGGGGCCCAAGCACTTAGGCCATCTTCTGCTTTCACAGGCCATTGCAGAGAGCTGAATCAGAAGTGGAGCAGCTGGGACTAGAACCAGCGCCGGTATGGAATGCTGGCACTGCAGGTGGTAGCTTTATCTGCTACACCACAGTGCTGGCCCCTTTAAAAAAATTATTTATTTATTTATTTTATTTTATTTTTAAGATTTTATTTCTTTATTTGAGCATCAGAGTTACAGACAGTGAGAGGGAGAGACTGAGGAAAAGGTCTTCCTTCTGTTGGTTCACTCCTTAAATGGCTACAATGGCCAGAGCTGTGCCAATCCGAAGCCAGGAGCCAGGTGCTTCTTCTTGGTCTCCCACGTGGGTGCAGGGGCCCAAAGATCTGGGCCATCTTCTACTGCCTTCCCAGGCCATAGCAGAGAGCTGGACTGGAAGAGGGGCAGTTGGGACTAGAACCAGTGCCCATATGGGATGCCGGTGCCACAGGCAGAGGATTACTGTGCACGGTGCCAGCCCCAAATATTTATTTATTTATTTGAAAGGTGGAATTAGAGAGAGGCAGAGAGAGAGAAAGAGAGAAAGAAAGATAAAGAGGTCTTCCATCCACTGGGTCATTCCCCCAAATGGTCACAGTGGCCAGGGCTGAGCCAGGCCAAAGCCAGGAGCTTCTTTTGGGTCTCTCATATGGGTGCAGAGGCCCAAGTACTGGGCCATCTTCAGCTGCTTTCCCAGGCACATTAGCAGGGAGCTAGATGGGAAGTGGAACAGCCAGGACTTGAACCAGTGCCCATATGGTACGCTGACATCATAAGCAGTAGCTTTACCCGCCAAAAAAGTCTGCCCTTCAAATAAATAAATAAACTCTTAAAAAAGGGGGTATGTGTGTGTCTGGAAGTGGGCATTTAGTCTAGTGATCAAGATGCTGGTATCTCCTATCACGGGAGTGTCTGATTTCATTTACTAGCTCTGGCTCCTGATTCCAGCTTCCTGCCATTGCAGACCCTGTAAGGAGCAGTGATGGCTCAAGAAAATGGATTCCTGCCACCCATATGGGAGACCTGGATTGTGTTCCCAGCTCTCGGCTATGGCTACAGCCATAGTTCAACCCAGGCTCAGCTCTGGCCATTTGTATAGTAAACTATTATTATTTGGGAATTATCTAAGTCTCTCAAAAAACAAAAAAAAAAATTGTGTTTATATTTTAAACTTGTATCAGTGAGTTTAGAATACAACTGTCTCCACCTTATTAACAATACTCAAATTAAAATTTATTATTACTCATTTTATTTATTTGAGAGAGAAGGATACAGAGACAGAGAGAGAGCTCACATCCACTGGTTCACTTCCCAAATGCCGAAGAGTTGGGCCTTTAGTACAAGCTTTGCACATGCACGCAGTGATCTGATCCCCAGAACAAGCCTTGGCAGGAAGCTGGGCTTGAGAGCATCACGGTCACGTGATCTGATCCCCAGAACTTGCCTCAGCAGGAAGCTGGGCTTGACAGCATCACGGTCACGTGATCTGATCCCCAGACCGCGCCTCGGCAGGAAGCTGGGCTTGACAGCATCACGGTCACGTGATCTGATCCCCAGACCGCGCCTGGGCAGGAAGCTGGGCTTGACAGCATCACGGTCACGTGGCACAGTCACCCTACCTTCTCTCTACCTTCCTCCTCTTTCTTTTTTTCTTTTCTTTTTTTTTCTTTCTTTAAAAAAAAAAAAGATTTATTTATTCATTTGAAAAGTCAGAGCTACAGAAGGAGATAGAGATAGAGAGATAGAGAGCGAGAGCGAGAGCGAATCAAGTTCTTCCATCCACTGGTTCATGCCACAGTGGCCAGGGCTGAGCAAGGCCAAAGCCAGGAACCAGGAGCTTCATCTGGGTCTCCCAGTGAGTGGCAGGGGCCCAAGCACTAGGGCCATCTTCCGCTGCTTTCCCAGGCTCTTATCAGGGAGCTAGCTTGGAAGCAGAGCAGCTGGGACACGAAGTGGCACCCATATGGGGATGCCAGCATTGCAGATTGTGGCTTTACTCACTATACCACAATACTGGCCCCACGGCATGATATTTTCTACACGAGAACTATGGAATGATAAAGGTTTATCATGATTTTTAAAATGATGAAGAACTGGCTAGGAAATTGATCAGAAAATCAACAGGTAGTTCAGGAGCATTTATTTTCTCCTTTACTGTTTATATGGATGACTTCGGAAGAAATAGAACCTAATTTTCAAAATTTTAAGTTTTTTTAGAGCAAAATTAATTCTTCTCATTTCTTGGGATTGATCACATAGATTTTATAAAAGAAAAGTTTACATTCAAAGAAAGGATATGAAAAAGTACATTTTAAGTTTAATATATTAGTGTGTACAAGTATAAGAAAAAATTTTCTGTTGATAGGATATTTTCAGTCTGACTTGCATTCCAGTACATTATGTAAAGTATTATACAAATCAGACTCTAAAAGAACTATATTTCTTAGATTCCCTTTTGAAACAATGTATATGGCACTTAAAATCTCAATCACAATCCAGAATAAATATAAACCCTACTCTATAAGTTCTTACTGTATGGTAAATCAAAACATTTGAATTGTGATGAGGAGTAAAGAAAGTTTATCTTGCTCAGCTATTTCATTTTATCACAGCGGCAATGCAACTCAAAATGTATTTTTAAGGCAGGATTTGATTTATTATAGTATGGCACAAGCAATCGGGATTACAAAAAATGACCATATAAGGAGTGAGCAGTATTTACAAACCTTTCTCATTTTGAAGGCTGGCACACTGCAATCACATAGTTTCTAGTTAAAATGCAATCATCACACTCACAATTAGCAGGCAGATGACTAGAGTCCAGGCCATGTGGGGCTTTAAGAGACCAATTTTAGTGCTTATAAAAAGCAACCATAAAATTATACAAATTCCTTAAAGGGGGAAATGAGGAGTTACTGCTTAATGATTATAAGAATTTTTGTCTGGGATGATAAAAAATTTTGGAAACATATAGTGGAGATGGTTACATGACACTGTGAATATAATCAATATCAATGAATTGTACACTTAAAAATTGTTAGGGGCGGGGGCTGGCGCTGTGGCATAGCAGGTTAAGCCTCCGCCTGCAGTGTCGCATCCCATATGTGTGTCAGTTTCTCTTTAACTTCCAAATTAAACAAAACTTAAAAAATAAAAATAATTAAGGTAGTAAATTTATTTACTTATTTGAAAGTCAGAGTCACAGAGAGAGAGATTTCTTTCACCTGCTGGTTTACTCTCTAAGTTGTCACAATGGCCAGGGCTGGGCAAAGCCAAAGTCAGGAGCCTGGAACTCCATCTGGGTCTCCCACATGGGTGGCAGGGGCCCAACGACATGCGCCATGATCTGCTGTTTTCCTAAGCACATTGGCAGGGAGCTAGGTCAGAAGTGGAGCAGCTGGGACTTGAACTGACGCCCATATGGGATGCCAGCATTTCAGGCAGTAGCTTAATCTGCTGAGCCACAATACCTGCCCCTAAGGTGGTAAATTTCATGTTATATATTTTTTTACTAAATAAAGAAAATATGTAAGAGTAAGTATGGTTCTGGGGCCAGCTTTGTGGCTCAGCAGGTTAAGCCACAGCCTGTGATACCAGCGCTCTGTTTCAGAGTGCCAGTTTGTCCCAGCTACTGTGTTTCTGGTCTAGTTCCCTGCTAATGTGCCTATGAAAGCAGTGGATGATGGCCCAAACACTTGGGCCCCTGATGCCCATGTGGGAGATCTAAATAGAGTTCTAGACTCCTGGCAGTGAACTGGCTAAGTCTGACCATTATGGCCATTTGGGGAGTGAACAGTGGATGAAAATTTCTCTCTGTCCCTCAGTCTCCTTCTCTGTTATTCTGCTTTCAAACAAATAAATCTTTTTAAAAAATTATATGTATTACTACTTAGTTAACATCCATGAGATGTTTAACAACACTTAGACATAAATAATATCTGCTTATTAAAATAATCTAAACGTGTATACTTTTATCTCAAACATAAAACTTGTATAGGTGAAAGCATTAAATAACCCTATGTAAAATAGCAAAATTACTTGCCTAATTGCCTTTCTTTTTTCTTGTTGATCAGAAGAGACATATGCCTTCATCTCATCAGTAGCACGACGAAGCTGAACTTCCAGGTTCTAAACGGAAAGACATATTAAGGACATGTTTGATACACAAAAACCTCAGAAAATGTTTGATCGCCTTTCTTCATCCTACCTTAATCATACAATTTGTATAATGGTATCTACTTTCTTCTTGAAGACATTCTTCACGGAGTCCTCTAACTTCCTACAATACAAAGTTTTAAATGGGCAATATTACTGAGAGGATACATGCAAAAAGAATGACTTCAAATGTATAACAAAAGAATTACCTTCAGATTCATTCCCTCTTCTGCAATTTTAGTACAGCTTACTCTAACAGCATAGGTTTCAATCTTTTCTAGAGATTACGCATATAACTCTAAAACTGGAAGTTTCATTTATTCACTTGTTAAGTACCCACAATGTATCCAGCACCATCCTATATGGTGAAGACACAGTGGTGACCAAGGCAGACTGGCAACTGCTCTCATTCAAGCAGGAAACAGGCACAAACAAGGAAGCATGTAATGGACATTATTTCAGATGGGAATAAGTGTTATGAAGAAAAAATAGCAGTCTGATGTGTCGGAGAGACAAGGTGGAGCAGGGTGGAGAGTGGAGTGGGAAATCCCAGCAGAGCCATCAGAGAAGACTTCTAGAAGGAGGTGACATCCAGGCTGGGATCTGCCTGATGAAGAGGAGAGAGCACAGCAGACTGGGCTGCAGAGTATCTCAAGCAGAAGGAAAAGCACGTGGTGAAAACGAGCGTGGTGTCTGCAGTTCAGGAAAAGGCCAGCCAGTCTTGTGGGGGCTCTGCAATGAGTAGGGCACTGGAAGCGAATGAGACAGGTGGAGCCTGGCACACCATAGTTTGGAAGTTAGATTTTTAAATGCAAAGCTTCTTTGTTTGCTCTACGTAGAGTCAACTAGAGGAGAATAATAGTGGAAGTGGGAAAGGTGACTGTGGGAGTACAGGCAAGAGATGAGACGCTTTGGACTTTGGCAGTAGTAGTACAGAGGAAAATCCAGGATTCACACATGAAGTTTAAAGAAATAAAGATCTCTGGGGCTTAAGAGACAGGCTCAAGAGATGATAATAAGATTTGGGAGTCTTTTGACAATGGATAGTGAAAATGTACATGCACACAGGCAGTTTTTGCTAAACTGTTAAAAGAAAATGCTTCTTACCTGTTCTAATTTAGATCGATTGCTTTCGAGGCCTGCTGCACAGCTATCATACTGGGATTTCTTTTCATCACACTCTTGGGTTAGCTCCTAATACGAAAAGAGCAAATGATTGAATAAGTACAAAACAAAGGCCTAAAATGTGGCTCTGAAACAATGCATGCCCTTGTCAGTCTTGTAACTTAACTCTAAGCTTCTTGGCGTACTTAAGAGTTATTTATACAACAATCAGACATTTGAGAATTATGACAGATGAAGGTGCTGATAAGAATAATATCTGCCATGTATTGAGCTGTGTGCCAGGTTCTTTATTAGGAGCTGGAGATACAACAGTGAACAAAACAGCCAAAAATTCTTCCCCTTAAGTAACGTTCAGACAAGTAAACAGGTTGCTGAGAGCTATGATCAGCAAATACAAGGTGTTATAGGAGCACACAGCCCTCTCATGGACCTAACACCCAGGCTTGGGGATCAGTGGGGCCAACTTCCTGGAGGAACTGATATCTAAATTAAGCATGATGGATTAGTAAAGGAATGACTGGGGGAATGGGAAGAGAGTGGTTTTTTTTCTTTCTTTTTTTTTTTTTTCAAGGAACACTATGTATGAAGGAATTAAAGCTAAAGAGAACAAGAACAATTAAGGTACTTACAAGCAGTTTACTATGCTTAAGCATGGTGGGAGAGGAGGTTGACAACTTAGGCAGGAGTCCTATCAGAAGAACTACATCTGAAGTGTACCCTTGACAGTAACTAAATCTCACAACAGCCCTTTGAAGGAGGTATTAGTACCCTCATATTATGCTTGCAGAGTTTCAGGAGGCCAAGTACCTTGCCAATGACTATACTGCTGGAAAGGGGTGGAGTTAGATTTTGAGTTCAGGTTGGTTAAGTATATATTTTTTAAAATTTATTTATTTGAGAGGCAGAGTTACAGACAGAGAGGGAGAGACAAAAAGAAAGGTCTTCCATCTGCTGGTTCACTCCCCAAATGGCTGCAATGGCCAGAGCTGGGCTGATCCAAAGCCAGGAGCCAGGAGCTTCTTCTCCCCGTGGGTGCAGGGGCCCAAGCACTTGAGACACAAGCAGGGAGCTGGATTGGAAGAGGAGCAGCTGGGACTTGAATTGGTGCCCATATGAGATGCTGGTGCTGCAGGCAGAGGCTCAGGCTACTAGGCCACAGCGCCAGCCCCTGGTTAAGTAGTTTTAAACAGTCTTCAAATGTAGTATCTTAAATGAGAGAATTTGAAAATCTGCTACAAACATCTAGACATGCAAAAAATATCTGCAAATGCCTGATAAGGTAGAGCAAACATCTTTTAAAATCTACAGCAACATAGGACCCTCAAGGAAGTATGAGGAATTACCAGGGTCAGAAATAGAGGATGACACTGAGGCTGGAGAAGAAGTTGGGACGGTCAGTGTTGGTAACGGGGATTTCAACGTCTCAACAGACACAGATACAGGAAGCTAGGACTGAAGACTCCTTAGGAAGTCCAGGTTTTCACCTTGGGAATTTAGGAGTAGAAGGTTACACTAACCTGAGAATGACCTTCATTTCACACAGCAGTTTCTTTGGAAACCAGAGTTAACATGATGAGTAATGGTGTGTGTGCTGCTTTTTTTATGTGGGCCTGCATCTGGGCTGGGTGATGAGCACCATGCAAAAGACTTCTAGAAAAGAGGAGCTGTGGCTTTATGTATCAAAGTGACCTCAGATACCTAAGCCTCTCAAGGGAGACGGGTATACACACCCTAAGTGGGAGAGGGATAGCAGAGGTTCACTTTGTCGTGCCAGGCCTCTTAATGGATGGCTATGCTACAGTTGATGAAGCCTCTTTTGGTCTGTGAGTCTGAGGGCCTGTTGGGTCAGTACACAGTGATGTTGCAGCAGGTGTGGGTGGAACACAATAGCTTGTCCTCAGACAGGTATGGGTTTGAATTTACCTTACCCACATGGTCTACAAACTAGCACGCTGAGACATTAGCTCATAATGAGCTCCAAGCTTATGATATTGCTAAAACACCCAGCAGGGCAACTACAAAACCACTATGGAGGGACACACCCTCCATCTTGGCTGCCAGGATTCAAGAGACAAAATCCTGTTAAAGGTAAGCTCATAGTCCAAAGGTATAGAACACCAGGAAACAATCAGTCTACTAGGAATGAGAATCAGAGGATAAAAACATCAGCAGAGCTCCACCTTAAGGAACTTTGCACACCAGAAATAAGTTTAAATATGCTTAAAATAACAGAAACTACAAAAGAAAACAAAAATTTAAAAAATACAGTGAAAAAAATAAAAATGAAAAAGATAATCATTGAAATAAAAAAAAAGTAAGTGAGGAGCAGGTGGTTAGCTTAGTGGTTAAACGTATCAAAATTCCTAGGTTCCATACCAGGCTCGGGCTCCTGATTCCAGCTTCCTGCTAATGCAGACCTTAGAAGACAGAGTGATAGCTCAAGCATCCAGGGTCCTGCCACTCCTGACTTCAGTCTTGGCCCAGTACCTGGCTGGCTAGTCCCAGCTATTGTGGGCATGTAGAGTGAACCAGTGGATGGGAGTTCTCTGTCTCAGCCTCTCAAATAAGTAAATTAAAATTCAAAAAATTAAATGGGTGGAATAAACCTAAGATCAGACACTGCTGAGGAGATAAACGGATGAACTTGAAAACAAAATTAAAGGGGCAGGCATTTGGCATAGCAGTTAAGATGCCCATTTCGGGGTCGACACCGTGGCATAGAGGGTAAAGCTGCCACCTGCAGTGCCGGCATACCATGTGGGTGCCGGTTTGAGTCCCGGCTGCTCCACTTCCAATCCAGATCTCTGCTATAGCCTGGAAAAACAGTAGAAGATGGCCCAAGTGCTTGGGACCCTGCACCCATGTGGGAGACCTGGAAGAAGCTCCTGGCTTCTGATCAACATAGTTCTGGCCGTTGCAGCCATCTCTGGGAAGTGAATCAGCAGAGAGAAGACTTTCTCTTGCTTTCTCTGCCTCTGCCTCTCTGTAACTGCCTTCCAAACAAGTGAGTCTTTTTTCTTTTTTTTTTTTTCTTTTTCTTTTTTTTGACAGGCAGAGTGGATAGTGAGAGAGAGAGAGAGACAGAGAGAAAGGTCTTCCTTTGCCGTTGGTTCACCCTCCAATGGCTGCCACGGCTGGCGCGCTGTGGCTGGCGCACCGCACTAATCTGAAGGCAGGAGCCAGGTGTTTTTCCTGGTCTCCCATGGGGTGCAGGGCCCAAGCACTTGGGCCATCCTCCACTGCACTTCCCGGCCACAGCAGAGAGCTGGCCTGGAAGAGGGGCAACTGGGACAGAATCCGGCGCCCCGACCAGGACTAGAACCCGGTGTGCCCGCGCCGCTAGGTGGAGGATTAGCCTAGTGAGCCGCGGCGCCAGCCATAAGTAAGTCTTAAAAAAAAAAAAATGTTCATGTCCCATACTGGGACATGAGCGAGTTTGGTCTCTGGCTCTGGGGATACCTGAGTTTGGTTTCTGGCTCAAGTAATTAACTGGATACTTGCCACTGTGTGGAAGACCTGGACTGAGTTCCTGACTCCTGGCTTCTGTTCCAGCTCAGCCCCAGCTGTTGTGGGCATCTGGAGAGTGAACTAATGGAGAGAAGATCTCCCTCTCTTCAGTGTGCTCTCTCCCTCCCTCCCACCCCCAATCCTTCAAATAAATAAAGAAAAAGAAAAATGGAGCTGAAGAAATTATCCAAAATTCAACACAATGAAAATATAAAAGTAGATTAAATAAGCAGGGAACAGAGTAATTATGTCTGCCATATATCTAATAGAAGTGGCTGGAAAGCAGACTAGGAAAAAAGCAAGGGAGAGAATATCTGCAGGTATTACACAGAATTATTCAAAAATTAATGGAGGACATAAAAAACTCACAAACTGGGACCGACACTGTGGCGCACTGGGTAAGACTGATGCCTGCAATGCCAGCACCCCACCTGGGAGCTGCTTCATGTCTCAGCTGCTCCACTTCCAAGAGACATAGATAATAAATAAATAATAGATATTTATTTATTCATTTGAAAGAGTTACAGAGAGAGAGAGAGACGGAGAGACAGAGAGAAATAGAGATCTTCCATCTGCTGGCTCACTTCCCAGATGGCCAGCACTGGGCTATGCCAAAGCCAGAAGCGAGGAGCTTCTTCTGGGTATGTATTGGCAGGGGCCCAAACACTTGGGCCATCTCCCTTTGCTTCTTCCCAGGCCACTAGCAGGGAGCTGGATCAGAAGTAGAGCAGCTAGGACTTGAACTGGAGCCCATATGGGATGCTACTGTTGCAGGCAGCCACTTTACTCGCTATAGCACAACGTTGGCTCTCCATAAATACATTAAAAAAAAACCCACAAATTTTAGCAGAGTAAATGAAATAAAATCTATACTTAGATCATGGTAATGAAACCTGGACATCAAAATAAAAGATAAAAATATTAAAACCAATTATAGGGAAGATCTTATCTTAAAAGAAGTGATAATAAACTGATAGCAGATCTTTCCACAAAATAAAGAGAAAGCAGTGAAAATATTCTTTTCCTGACCAAATCATTATGTAAGAAGAAGAAGAAAAAGGTTTATTTATTGTGACGATTCTTTACTGAGACAATCACTGAAAGAAACAAAGCAAGGAAACAATTTCAGGAAGAAGGAAACTAGATCCAGAAGGAAGGAGTAACATCCAAGCAGAAATGGTGAGAACTGCTAAATATGTGGGTGAATATAAACAGGAAACGATTATATAAAGTAGTGACTATAATAGTAACAACCACAAAAACTACTTTTAAGAGATGTAGAAAAAGGAAGGAAATAAAATGCCAGAGGATAACAACACACGTACAAGGCACAGAGAGGGTGTGAAATTCTTCTAAGGTCCTGTATTGTTGGGGAGATATACTGATTAAATCTAGACTTAATTAAGTCAGGAATATACATTAAAAATTTAAGAGTAAACCATATCAACATAAAAGTAGAAGACAGAAAAGGAAATAAATGAGAAAAAAAGAAAACATACAGTGGGTGTTTAGACTAGCAGTTAAGATGCTGGTTAAGATGCAGTGTCTGGGTTTAATCCCTG